CCCCCGGGGGGGCGCGATGATTAGTCGTCGCACTTCGACCGAGATCCGTGCTAAGCCCGGCATTCCGGAGGCAGGAAAATACTGTTCCGGCGGTTGTCTCGGGGATCTCGCCCGGATCTTGTCGCCATGAGGCATAGCCGTCGTAAGCGCGGCTAATTTTCTCCAGCCACGCTTCCAGAGTCGCTTCCAGCGACTCGATTCGCGCGAACCTTCCAGCCGCGCGAACGAGAGCGAAAGAGACGATTAAATTTGTCGGACCTGCGGCCAGCAAATGTGAATACGCCTGGCCACTGTTTACAGATCGTTTGCTGCCGAACAGCATTATCTCCCGCGTGGCGTTTATCCCCGCGGCTGAATTTTCATGGCCGAACGGCTGGCAAAATAAGCCAGCCGGCGTAGCAGGAAGTGGCCGTCCTGTCGAATGCAAATGCGACACGTATATATTTATTTCGCTGGAAATAGCAGTCCCAAATACGGAATGTATGCGCGGGCATTTTTCGCTCGCCGTTTAATGTCCCTTATCGGCGGCTCCGTCCGACTATCCGGGTCTCCGCGTTCTGCCCGATTGTCATTAGCATTATCCGCGATTTTTACTCGCTGGCGCGTATGCGACGTCACGGAATGAAAATTCCCACTCGATAACGGTGCGCAGAAGTTACGTAAGCGCAATGAAAAAAACGGTCATCGTGTCAGTTACACCGACAAAACAAGTGTGTCCCGTTGTTGTAACTGAATTTTCTGTTACTTGGAAACCGAATGAAAAACTCGATTGTGGGAACAGAAAGATTTCCGTAGGTTTCTCAATAAATTGCTCTCAGTTACCTCGACCGAGTTTCAATGCAGCTGAGTGCCCAGACGAATATTTTCGATCGCAGAGACATTAATTCTCGTCAGCGATTTTTTCGTATGGTCTCCATTCAGTTACGCGAACTGAAACTTCACTTCCGTGTATATTCAACAGAAAAGGTATCTTTGATTAACCCTTCGAAATCCAGACATCGATCTCACATTCGAGTAAAATTTTTTTCTTTGTTAGTCTTTCTTTAAAAATAGTTTTAAATGACTCTCTTGATAAAGAGTCTGTTATCTAGACACCAGAAAATTGTACGCGATTGTAGAAACAGAAAGATTCCCTTAGGAGGTTTCTATTCAGCCAATTATTCTCAAGTTATCTCAACCGAGTTACAATGTAGCTGAATATCCAGACGAATGTTTTCGCTCACAAAGATATTATTTTTTGTCAGCTATTTTTGGATACACAAACTGGAGAATTTTTTACGTGTATGGTTTTCTGAATGTACGTAATTATATACGATCGGCTGATGAAAGATCGCAGTGCTTTTTTCTCGATGAGTTTCGCAATGTATCTCGTATCCAATACAAGAATTGTTTTTTCAATAATTCTTAAGAGATACGTTTGCCGATTGCACGGAAAAAAGACAACTCCATTAGTGTAGCCAGATTTTCTGTTATCTAGTAACCAGATGAAAAACTTGGTTATACACGGAAAAAAAAATTTGGTTGAATTAATCAAATATCTGGTTGAATATGAACGATCCAGGAATTCCGACTGAAGTAACCCGAATTCTGTTTAAGTCAACCAAAAATCTTGTTAACTTAAACAGAATTCGGGTTACTTCAGTCGGAATTTCTGGATCGTTTATATTCGATCAGATATTTGGTTAATTCAACCAAACCTTTTTTTCCGTGTAGAAACAAAAAGTTTCCACGCAGTCAATTGCTCTCAGTTACCTCAATCAAGCAATTGAATTTAATGCAACTGAATGATCAAGCAAATGTTTTCGGTCATTGTAGCAGATATATTGTTTCTCGTCATTGAATATATCGTGCGGTCCCCTATTCAGTTACACGAACTGAAATTTTATTCAGTGTGGATACGGAATACGTTGCAAAGCTCATTGAGGAAAGGTCTTATTGTCAGAGTTAAAGTGAGTAAAAGAGTTAAAGTATACATAATTATGTACATGGGCCTTGAAAGGTTAACTTTGGCGGTAACAAACTCGTTTGATGTATTGAACATATTTGATAAAAAATTTGATTTAAAATTTATTTAATCACTAATCGTAAGTCATAATTATTATTCTCTGTTTCGCTTTACTTGTTTTTAACGTGGTTTTAATGCATAATTTTTAAGGAATTTTTGAAGGCCGACGAGGATAACATCTACACCGATATATGTCCGGAAGATGCTTGATGTTACTTCCAAAATTAAGCCTGAGTTATGTGTGATGTGCTCTTTGCCTCTTGTTTCTGGTTCCCTATCTCTGGTTGAAAATTTAAGGCTGAAGTCAGAAGGAGATAAGCAGAAAGAAGTAGGAAGCAAAGAGTACATCGTACATCAGGCTTTGAAGTCGGCGCGATGACACGTTCGCCGCGCGGGCGAAAGGCTGGAATAACGCAAAATCAACGCAATATCCACGAATTGCGTAGACAGAAGATGGCGTGTAATAGTGTGATGCGTTGAAAGGAGGAGGCTCAACTTTCTTGCT